CCCCCCCCTCGCAAATATAACACCTTTTTATATGACCATTGGTTCCAATAAACAAAACCCAGCAAATCATCAAAAGGGAGATTTTTCAAGTACATTCTTTAACAAAAACAGTATAAATATATTAAACATATGACGTTGGACAAGGGAATCAACAGATTCCCTTTGAAATATTCAATTCGAAAATTGGAAAGAAAATCAATTGTTATCAACATCTTGAACATTCTTTGGTCAGTTGTCTTTCTTTGTTACCAAAGAATGTACAAAATGCTAATAAATATTGATTTTTTTGTTATTTGTTTACCAAGATCCACCGAGAGATTTTTGTTAAAATTGGTGTCTTGCACACGAAATTTATGTCTATCCGCTCATTTTTTATTTTTATTTTGCTAACTTGATTTAGATGATATAGATATTATGTAGCAATGGGTTACGAAATCTTGTTTCAAGATTAATCTTTAAGAAATGTTAATTGAAATTAATGTTTGTCAAAGATTTTTTTAACCTTTCACGTCCACGCGCTGTGTGATTTGTCCCTCACGAAGAAGAGTTCATGTGTATTCGGCTTCTTGATGATTTAGGGTTGCTTGTTTTATTTAATATAGCAAAGTGTTATAAAAATATCGATTATAGTTTCTATTCACAAGAATGATATTTGCCAACAAATTCAATCCCATTACCTCTTGATTATAGAGCAGGGAGTTTTTAATTGCGCTACCAGTCAGGGTATATGTATATTCTGTTACTACTCTCTGCAGGACTCAAGGGAATAATAAGAAATGAACTCTTTAAAAGGGCTCTTAACCTATAATTTGTCAATTTAAATGAAGAGGAAATAAAACGAATTTTAAAGGAAATATCTTTCCAACGTCTACATACAGAAGAGAGAAATAAACTTTATTTGTTAACGTTTCGTTATAAGATAAATGTAAAATATATTTGAAAAATAAAACTGTTAAGAATACAGCAAAAGTACACTAAACTGCGTGGTAACATTTCCCGTATCTTCTGAATCCATATAAAGAAAATTGGGTATGTTAGTTACATTAAACTGTACTTACCTATTCATGTAAAATGTTGCGTAGGATTATGAATACAATCTTTGTTAAAGGTTTAAGTTCAATTAAACATTACTTAGTCATTGTACAACAATAAAACATAATGTCAAGTACCTAAAATAGAACCATTCCGCCACTAGTTTTAACGGTACTGACGATGTCACCGGCTTAACTATCAACGAGAGAGCTACCAGAAAGTGTGTGAATATTAGCACGCACCATCCTAGTTTAAAACGAGGTCGTCGAGTGCAGGGAAACTTTATACTTGACACTTTTCAGTATATCACTTATCCATTCAATATCTCGCAGTATATATACTGATGGAATGTACATTATCTCGTCAGATTACATGACGTTTTTCACGTTTATATCGTAATTCTGCCAAATCAATTATGTATGTACATGTAACACATGATTTAATCGATTAAAGTCTCTGACGTCGCTGATCAGAAATTACGATAAACTAAATACCAATTAGGGACGTCTACGAAATAAGGATGTCCATTTTCTCGTCCAATTGCACTGTGCAATTTTCATATTTATTTTGTTACACTGTAACTCATATGTATGTTGCTCATATTTAAATTGGCTTACATTTTAATCTTATGACATCATGGATTGAAAAAAAACCCCGAACATTTAGATTCTTACCTTTTCAGTACACCTGGCCTTAATGTTGAATTATTTAGGCCACTATGCAAATCTTTCTTTGGTTCATATTTCTGCCCACTTTTATCGATTTTCGGTTCGAGCTACGGTTAAGGTGACACTTTTTGGGAATTTCTTGTTGTTTCGTTATTATTTATATTTTATTTAGTAATAATTTTGGTTTAAATTATTGTTTTAATTTTACACGATGTAGAGGAATTCTGCCAGGCAAACAATCAAAAACACTGTAGGTCAACGCGGCAGAATGGTAGCAGATGGTGTGTGGATACCCTTTGTTCATAAAGTTTTTGTATTCTAACTTAATATGTCTGGGTCGATCGGTCAACATGTCACCTTTGTCTTTCGGATTCAATAATATGTCGACTTGCCCACTATACTTTTACATAATAAATGCTTCCGCATTTAACGGGCAATACTTCCCTCAACATCAATGGGTTCTTAATAGTTGAACAGCAACTAACATAAGTCGGCATATTCGTATGGTAACATTACTTGTCAAGAGTAAATGTTAGACAAAGCAACCTTCTTAATGTGTCAAGAATTTATGATGGTACTTTACAACCCAACATAATCTATTTTTGGTTTGTCTACTTGGACAATGTCTGGCTGGGATGGGTCTCTGTCTGAGACACTATCAACAACTTATGTATGCTGTCGTTACACGAATCCTGTCGTTGCCACTTTCAATCCCCGCAGCTAGCCGTAGCCTTGTAGCTTGGATTTATTTTTGCATGGTTTACATGAAATAATAGAACACTTCAGATATCAATTTCAAATATTTTAACTATGAGTACCACTAACGGGTTTTTAAAAGACGATGGTCCTATGGTGCAGTAAACATTGTTACTTTTCTTGGCTCTCAGTATCGACATAGTTTTAAAGATTGCATTTTTAGTGATAAGTGTACTAACTCACCTTTACAAAATACGTTCAAATGAAATATCTTTCATTTAAATAAGAGGGATCGAAGAGCTATGTCAACCGCACAAAAACACTTAAAAGATTATCTCCGAAGAACAAAGACATCAGATACTATTGTGTTTCAGTGAATATCGGATGTTATTGCATGTCAGCTGTTCCTGCGTTACAAAGAGGGAGATACTCATGAATCAGAATCCTGCTATATAAACCGAAATGGTTGGAAATACAGGTAAGAGGTCCATCCGTTTGGAAGACTCGATCCAATTCAAAATGAGTAAGCTAAGCGTAAGAGGTACATATTAATGTATGTTAACAAGGTAGAGGTAATGCTTACGACATGGTTATATTCTCAGTGTCCCTCCTAATATCATAAAACGAACAAATAAGGTTAGCTTTTTGACCCAAGTAGGGTTTTCCTGAGATGATGCTAGTTACATAGCACTCATTTTAGTTCCTGTAAGTTTGATTTCTCAATTTTTGAGATTCTGAACAAAAATATCCAACAGGCTTTTCCCATTCTTACCACAAGTCAGAAAGGTACTAACGAATCTCATAAATATTGTCTCTAAAGAAAACGAAATGTGGACATATGACTAGAAGAATAGACGCATGTATTCTACTGTAGTACCTAAACAGGTGAAATATGTCTCGAAGTGGTCTGAAGTAATAGGAAAAGCAACATATGTGTTAGATTAAGATACTAATAGTAAAAGAATCAGTCCAAACATCTCTCAGATAATAAAGAAAACAATCGGTTGGGCGTTTTATTCAGAATCCCAAAACTAGAGAAACTAAAGAAAGGCAGCAAGGCTGTAAAGCCTACTCGCTTCTTATCTGTTATCAGGTCACCGTGTAAATGCTTTATATCAGTTCGTAAAAAATTTGGAATAATAAATATTCAATTTGTTAAGCGTAAACCTCAAATGAGTAACATTAAAAGACAAAATTGAAACTGTAATAAATAGATTCGAAAGATAAATGCAATACATATAGTTCATTTACCAGCAAACAATGGAAACTAACAACATGGTTTGACCAAAATGGACAAATAATTGGGAGTGTATACGTGTAAAACGGATTTACATTGGAATCGTGCAGGGCTATTATTTGTGAAACATTCCCGTGCAAGGGTGTGCCTACCTTAATCGACAAAAAAGAAACGGTGTGTACATCCTGATGACCAATCGGAGGTGGCCGATAAACAAATAAGAAGCAGGTTAAGCATTCCAGCAAAGGAAAAATGAATGATAATAATTATTATAGATTGTATAATTCCTGGAAAGGCTTACCAAGCTTTTCGCTTAAACTGTATTTTTTGGACAGAGAGAAAGATTGAACACGTGTTAAACAGGGATTAACACGTACAAACACAAGTGAAGTCACAGGTTATTCTGTTCTGGTATAAGTTATTAAACAAAAATATTAGAAAAAACCACCTTTTCATAACTCTTACTATGTATATATTTATATGTTTAGAAAAGAATATTTATCGAAACTTTGTTTAAAAAAACAAATCTTGCTACATCACAATGCAGATATACAATTTAAAGTATTGGTATTTTTTTCAAATTAAGACATTAATAAAAACCGGTTTATATGAGTTTATTTTTATAGAAAAAAATGTTATCGTTTAACACACAAAACTTTATGTTAAGACACAGATATTATGTGTTCGTGTTTAAACGTCTTCTGTGACCTTTGTGAATTATTAGTTCAAACATCTGTTCAAATAAACTCAAAAGCATCCCAAAATTAAAATTCAAGCCAACACAATTTTCTTACCAAGCTCGCCATTTCATTCAAATCCTGAACCTGCCAATGTATACACATAGTTAATTACTATAAAAGAAATACATGAAACACAATAAGTAACAACCTCTTTTAGAGGAAGATGTGAAAGTCAATAATGATTAAAGTGTTTTGAAGGAGTTGCGAAACCATAAACCAAAATCCTGATACATTTCCGGATTAGGAGAAAATAACCGAAGTTTAGTTTGTATTATTTTTCATATTACTGTAAATCAATTTTATTTCTAGTGACTATTTATTTCTGAAAATCTTTTTTTCTCACGTCTTTTTTTTCTAATTCATCTTAAAATATTTGTCTCACAAAAAAAAATAAAAAAATTGTTTACAGTAAATTAATTTGATTTTAAGTATAGATGGTCTGCAGGGAAATGATTAAACAGATAATGAAATATTTCTAATACTCGGGCAAAGTATTAGTCTAGGTATTTGAACATGTAACACAAATAAGGTACGCTATGTGGATATTAATTTATTTTCATTTTCTTAACTTTTTTCAGACACTACATAAATAGGCATCAACAACAAAAACAACAATAGTTATAGTAAAATGAATAAGGTGAACAACAAAATTATATAACTGTGTTTCAGTTCAATAGACAGCTATGTTTGATATTGCACGAATCCACATAATTTGAAATCGTCACATTCCTGTAGATATTCTAACATCACAGATGCGCAGCATTGATAGTGCTACCAGCTTCAGAAGCAGAAAAAAACACCAATATATAATAAAAATATAATAAAATGTATCTTTACACGTCAATGAAACTTTATCTAAAGAAATGCAAAATAATGTTACTCTGTTCAAAGTAAGAATTTAAAACAAAACTGTAATGTTTTTGTTTGAAAATTCATCGCATTAAACTGAAAAACAAAATTTCGTTACATAAAATCATTATCGTTGATTAAAATAAACGTACAGGAAATGGAAATATGTTTAATAAATTCATCAACGAGACGAAATCACGATAACAATGGTTTGAGCTAAACAATTGATAAATAAAGTATCTGCTCGCTTAAACTGTAATTTAGCCAGCACATGAGAAACAGAATATCAGACGTGTTGCGGGAACAACGAGTAAACACAAATACAATTGATAAACGTCACGTTTTAGTTAGTTATTTCCTTGCGTAATCGTGAATTACACAGAGGTCATTTGAGTGGAACATTTATTGTACGGTTTGCACTGTCATGAAGAATCCGGGGTTTTGTTCCATGAGCATGCGCAGTACATGGTTTGAGCTTTTACAGTCTCAGTTTCTGTTTTTGTATCACAATATTCGTCGTCGTCATGGCAACCACTGATAAATTGACAAATGTTTTTGCGAAAAGCTGTCAAAGGGTGTACCTCGGTTTGGGAGAGGATAAACGAAGAAGTCCGAGAGCTCCGGCGGCGACCGCCTGACTGTAAGAACCTTCGGATCTTAAATCGGTACCACTTCCGTTTAATCACGCGCCGCACCTGCAATAATGAATTCCAATTGCCACATGACATACCTTTTGTATCTTTATTTAAATCATGATCATAACATTTAGAAAAAACATCATCACAAGTTTATAGTTATCCTAAAGTGTACATGAGATACAAGAAAATGTATCCACATGGAACATTTAAAAGATACGACATTGAATCGAACCAGATGTACTATTATCTTTCTGTCAACGACCTGGATGGAATTGAAAATTGAAGTACCGGTTAGATACTAATAACGGTAGACAACCCCACTTACCTCTCCATTTAGGAAGCAGTAGAATATGGAAACCATTATTCCCTGCAATAAAAAGATGTATATAGAACAATGAAAAAATCTCACATTCATATCTCTGGCAAAACAAAGGACATTTGTTAGACGGTTGAATCCCTTAAGAGAACCTTTAAGACCCAGTTCAACACGAAAGACTTTAATACAGTTTAACTGCCAATAAAGTCCTCCACGCCTTCCAATGAAACTCTCCAGGATAACAAAAAAGGCAAGTTATTTGGGTAGTACATGTACAAACACGAAAATCTAATAAAGAGTCGTACAGTCAAGCACGTTTAGTACAAACACGCTTATTGCGATTCCCTGTGTATTGCGAACTGATTCTGTTTCCCCAGCCCAACTCCATCGTACTTCTATGTAATTACATGATCATTTTGCGGATCTTAAACAGAGAATCGTTGTCTATTACGAATCAAATCAGCGGTCCCACAGGTGGAATTCAGTGTTTTAATAACATAAACAAATTTGCTATACACGTATAACGAACTGCTGTTATAACGAACTGATTAACTCGGTCCCTTGGGATTCGTTACACCCGTATTTTACTGTATAGGTAAAAGCAGATGAATTCCGAAAAGATAAATATGACAAATAGACGAGAGAATCTCATGTAAGACACGTTTATTATTAACTCCTGGGGTCCGGACATAAGTTCGCCATTTGGAAACTATCCTTTTATCTACCGGTTTTCAATTTTACAAAGTACATACAAACCATATAATCGATATTAATATATATATATATATATATATGTATATATATAAGCTATATATAAGCACGACGCTCTTACTTAAATATGGCTTTATCTATTATTTGATACCTTAATTGGCGTAATATTCATCACAATTTTGATTCACAGTTTTGCAAACTAACTTTAGTCACGACTTTCCTTCGTATAACCTATATGCGAGGATTTGTGATAAATTTGAAATCTCAATAAAATCTCCTCATGAAATAATGAAACGATATTTAAAACTACAGAAAAGCAATTAAAAGCAGCACCAAAATAGAAGCACAATTCTTAATGACGTCATGAGTACCTGTATGGACTGCAGGACAGCATTGGTAATGTGATACGCGCTCTGCAGGCCACCTCCGTCCTCCGGGTTGTAAACAAATAAGATATTCGTGAGACCTAGGAGTGGCATCAATACGATAGTGGCCTTAATGGCTCTCCTGTCAAAATAAAAATAAAGTATGAAATAGATGAGGTAATCATATATTTCACAAATCAAATTAATTGCAGGAGAAACACAACTTGCATTTACTTTTTTCTGGGAGTATTAATAACTTTTTGATATTTGATATGAAATAAAGTTTGGAACCGTGTAACTTCCCCATATGTACGGCTTATGTGTGAATTGTGTTATCTTTACGCTGCAATCCAAAGGAGATTATTTTGTAACTGGTGATATGATTGGCTCATGCTCTTAAACAATCAACTTGTACATCGGTCTATTTGGTAGATAATGTTTGAATCGTTCTTTAAACAAGGTGCCAAAAGCAGTTAGAACCTTATTCACGTAGATGTGAATTTGAGCTGGATATTCTGAAGATGGCCATCAGCAGATATATTCAAATGAAACAGAAAAGTGTTGATCGAACGTCAAATTACAGGTAAAACGATAATGTTCTTGTATATTATGACTTTCTGGTCTTACTTTTATAAGGGCCCCCGTGTATATTTTTCATTCGTTCATATTTTGCCGTAACTGTACCGATTTTGAGGTAAGATTACGGTTTTGTTGACACTTAGGTGTCCTCTTGTTGTTTGTGCTTGGTACAATAAGTACAAATATTGTCATACCCATATCGATGACCAGGTTTGCGAAATCCAATTCACCTAATAAGAGATATGATATGACATATTTTGGTGCCACGATTGTTCGCTATGTCAAGTTGTCCAGTGGTTTTTTGTATAACAATAATAAAAATGGTTGTCAATGATAGCAACACGTAATAGCATTCATAGCTGATATGAATGCCATATTACCTTGTTTGGGTTATATAGTTGCAATGTAATGTGGTAAATACTTCATTTTACAATGACTTTTAACCATTTGGTTGTTATGCAAAGATCATGTAATCAAATTTTTGTGTTGAGCATGAAAATATTTTATTCTTTGTCGTTAGCACAATTTCATAACACAATATAACTGTAAATTGAAATTGTAAATTTACTACTGGAATTTTCAAAGAAGATTGATTTGTGTTATGGCATCATTTATCAATATATTACAAGTTCTAAAAGCGATAACAAACTCTATAATTACATCATTTATACTAATTGGCTTTTTGAGATTTTGAGATACAATAGTATTAGAAGAGCGTTAATTAAAGACATTAGGAATATGATTGATCACATCTGAAGTTCATAAATTCACACAAAAATCTTCGTTTCTGGAGCAAATTATGAAAACTCCATTCATAACAGTTGGTTGATGGTTAATCAAGGACAAAACGTTTTGTCATAATTTAAATTTATTTCACAGGCGTAATCGGATGGTATTTAATTGGCTTATTTTGTCATTTTACACTCCATTAAACCTGTACACTGGAATTTAGACAACATTTGTATATGAATGAGTTACAGTGCCATCCTATTGCTATTTTAAACAGACTCGCATGGACTAACTCGATAATGAGTGCATGCTATTTTATTGTGACATTGAGGAATTAAGGAGCATTTCTGAAAAGAAACTCTGACGGTGCGGAACTTTCATGAATCGTAATAAAAGTGAAAGAAACAAAATGTTAACCAATTAAAACACGGTTCTCAGGCCAAAACTATCTAGTTATATACGAAATGAAATTAAAGGGATGTAATTGTTCGCATGAATATTAACAATGGAGTTTACTGGTGTTTGCCTCCATTGAAAGAGGCGTTCTTAAACTTGAGAAAAGCAATCAAATAAACGTTTTTATAGTGACACATCGAACAAAGGACAACGAAATCGTCAACAAAAGTCGATATTGTACTTTCAATTATATCCCAGGATACTTTCAAATTTCTTAAGAAACTCATGGAAAACTACTTATTACGGTAAGTACAAGAAAATGGATAAACACTATTGCATTTTAGGAAATTAACTTTAGGGATATTTCAGATTTAGAAAAAAAAATATGTACCGCTGATGTTTTTCAGATACAGAAAATAGTATGCGTGTACTATCTTTTAGTGGCCCGTCATGCAAGCGGACTTGTCGATAGAAGGGCAAACATTATTCTTTCCTACTTAGAAATTATTGTAGTGATTTAAAGTTTGATTTTCACCTTGTCCACTTAACTGGTAGTCCAGTATGTACTTGTTCCGATGAATAGGAAACAGCCTGTCATTTTTTTCTAGAATGTCCTATTTACTATGATTTGGGGATTAATTTGTTCAACTTATTCAGTAATTATGCCTTTGACCATAACCATATCGGTATTGACATTATTTTACATGGCTTTCTTAGTTGTGAAGGTAATACAAACAGACTAATGCTTCGTGATGTACATTACTTTATAGGGAAATCCAAACGCTTTAACTTTTACAAGATCTAGAAAGCCATTATATTGACAAAAACTGTAACTTTCTATGAAAACAGTTGAACATGGTTGTGAATTTATTTGAGTAGGTAATAAATATATATTTTCACTTATTTATTTTGTGCTCCTCTACACAACGTTTTACTTATACTTTTGATAAATGTACATATCGAGTTAATTCTGTATATTTGATAGTAGATTAAATAGTAAATAAATTAATACACAGTTTAGGTGGTGATGACCTGTGCAGTACTTCTAATTGGACTTTTGGTCTATCTACCTAACTGTATCGAATGTTAAATAGTAACTAATGTGTATACGTGTAATTATTATAATCAATTACTATATTTCTGTTTTGTGTGTGAATCTGCGTCGGTGTGTATATGTCCTATGTCGTATTGTAAATAATAAAATGTGAGTTACCTCTCTTTAATTACTTTATCGTTTACATTTATGTATTTTCATTTCACAATATCTCTAAAATATATTTAGCTTAAGTTCTATAATAACACTCTAGCCACCTATGGAAAGCATTTATATAGGCTTGCCTATTGTTCGATCCGTTTGACCATAACACCATGTCAATAAAATCTGTTAAATGAAAACATAAGTCGATATTGTAGTTTCAATTATATCCCAGGATACCTTTAAAGCTTGTACGAAACACATGGAAAACTACTTGTTACGGTAAGTACAAGAAAATGGATAAATAATTTGGCATTTTAGAAAATCAACTTTAGGGATATATCAGGTTTAGAACAAAATATGTACCATTGAGGTATTTCAGATACAAAAACTAGTATGCGTGTACTATCTATTAGTGTCCCGTCGTGCATGTGTACTTGTCGTTTGACTATCCATTTGTTCACATAGGGGTGAAAAGAGGATATGATACAAAGCATTTCTTTCTCGAGAACGGAAACTTAAGATATACGTGATCTAAGAAAGGATATATAATTAGATAAAACATACTGCTGGTATACCCACTTCTATAATATATACAGGCGTATAGTCCCAAAGAGAGGTTTGTAAGAGCTGTTAAAAAATCTTCCCGATCGACATAAACCAAACATCTTTAAAATAAAATAGATTAACGTGATAAATTCAAGTAAACTTGAACCTAATCAGGTAGAGCGAAGTTGGTTCGTGGTCTTGACTACCGAACCGCTATGAATATATGGTTAAGTAACATCTTTGCCACCGTCATCATGACGACACGTGATGTCGCTCAGGGACCAACATGGCCTTTTGAATATAAAACGAAGATAACGTCTGAGGAAAGAGTTTTATCACTAGAGACGTTTGACCCGAACAGAAGCGCCAATGTAGTGGTTACCATTATCTGACGGCGTTCTAGCTGTTCGGAGCAATCGCAAACGGCAGAAATGAGCAGTATATCGAACACACCCGATAACGTCAGCTGATATCACGCCTTTGAGACCCATCGGTAGACAAGAAATTTTGAGCAACAATCTTCTTATCAAAAGCCAGTGTTATCAGAGCAAAAAGCCAACTCATCTGATAATTTCTATGAAAAGCGTTGCAGAAAACAATACTGCTAAATAGATAACAGAGGGACCGAGGAAAATGTCTAAGGCTTAGGAAATGTATGACATTGCAATTTACACAAGACACTAATTCGGAACGATTTTTCATATATGCATATCTTTTTGTAAGTTTATATGTAGAGTATATCTAAACTGTTTTACCTTTCACTTTTAATGAAATCATTCGCTGAATTGTTTTTAAATCTGGGAATGAGCTATCAATATATGAGTTTACCGAAACAAGATCAAAGCGGAATGTGTTTTTTTGTTATACACCAGACCAAGCGCTTGTTACAAACAGAAAACAATCCAACACATTTGTGTACTTATTCAGATAAGTTTAAACAAACTTGTTTAGTTTGATAACAAAAATATGCAACAGGGGTACATATTTGATTCGCAGAACAATATGAAAGGGACGTATGTTTGATGTGAAAGAAAATATTTAGGGTGTGGACTTACACATAGCAAAGCAATATTGAAGATGCTTCGTGTGTAAAATGAAAAAACTGGAAGGGGTGTCCAAGATAATATGGAAAAGACACATATTTGATTTCCAAACAATATAGCAGTGTCTCTTGATACAAGTTGTGCGTTAAAGATAAACTTAAAAACACTGCTTTTTCGTGGGACAGATATTTTGTACATATTGGTACACAGAATGGATTGAGCAGATGAATTCCCTAAAAATATGCATGAACCAATATAATGTACATCATTTATCAGTTTTTATTTATAAGGGAATATAAAGTTTGCGGTTATGCTCTTTGATGAAGATTTTTTTTTTTTTTTTTTGTGTTGCCCTTCTTTACTATATGATCAATGTTACATTAGACATGAGGCGACCATACCGATACATTTACATTTCCACTACAATTTCCTCCATATAGAACGTAATTAGACCGGCGTCGTTTTGAAGCTTCTTCTCCCGCTTTGAATAACATGATGCCATAGTTAGAAGAAAACCTTTTGGCTGGTCAAGGTATTTGTTCGCACTGACAACAAGGATAATTCCATGTAAAAAATATAAGCGTATTTTGGTCAATTAATAACTGAAAATTTAGGATGGAAATAAAAGGATTTCACGGCTGCATGGAATATGTATGTAACCGATTACCGTTCATACCAGTATGAACACTGAAAAAAAGAATTGCCGTTCAATTGATCAAGAATCTTGAAAAAACGACGAAAAGCTTTCGCTGAAAAACGTGATGCGCGGAATAGATAACTACTTGTTTGGTGAAATGAGTCATTACTGAAATATGTAATCTTTGAACGAAGTTTCGCTGAAATGAGTTTCCGCTACAATAAATGTTCGTATACACAGGTTTACGCTAACGTAGGTGTTTGCTGAAACACGTGTTGTCTGTAATAACTAATAACTTAAAGGAATGTTTGTTGCAATACAGTAAGTAATTGCTGAAATAATTTTACGCTTAACTAAGGGTTCGCTGAAATAGGTGTTTCCTGGAATACGTGTTCGCGAAAAACTATTTTATGATACCCTCAGCAGTGTAATAGTATACCTTGTACAAACAAGCCGTATATTTCTGATTATTTTCTTAGAAAAACTGACATTAGTATATTGAGAACGGGTCGAAAGGGAAGCCGCCCGGGATAGAGAGATTGCATATTTATAAACCTGTTTACAATTTTATGATCTGACGTCCGGGCTACGATGGAAACTATAGAACACAGAACACACTATATTGCCGATAGGTCCGGCGACCAGGTTCATTTTAATATAAGTTGTGTCTGCACCGGTTATACCAATCTATCGCTAATCACGAAACACTATGTCAATATTCCTGGCTGGCCCATTTAGGCTAATGACTCAGCATCAGCTATCATAATACTTAGGCCGGTACCGACGTAGGAGTTGTTGAGGCGAGATGTAAATAACCTAATAAACTCGTATCTTAAATGACGAGCAGTACTCATATAAGTGACAAGTGATCGTGTTTGACAGCATTAGCCTGAAATCATCGATGATAAATCTAATGGAATTAGAGTTCTGTCCCTTTGATATCTCATACACGCGGAGGGTGTAGAATAGATTTTGATAAAATTTCTTGTAAAGGATACTTATCGAATTAGCTTCCCTTCCAACCCCTATCAAATCAAAATTATAAGAGGATTATTGATTAAGTATGGATAACAATGTTTACTCCCGCCTTGTCGAGTGCTTTCGGACACTTTTCTGCGATATAATAAGTGTAATCTGTTGAAGCTGCAGGTTTGTCAATATTTTGGGGAATAGCTTTCAACCATTTATGCGACAGTGCAAATAGGGATGAATTAAGAAGCAAGACCATCGCATAGTGGAATATATTTTACGTCCACAATACAGTTGCTGAAGGAAAATACTGAGTTGATTTTATTTTTAATAAATATAATATTTGAAACTTGAGGTTTGCTAACATTATTCAGATAAATAACGTGCACAGTATAATCATGAGAGACCTTGTGATGCATTCTGTTAACAATATTATCAACAAATGGAGGTATATAAAGTTACCATCTGATATAAGAAAGTCAAATACCCTGGCCAAATTCAAGAAGTATATACATACCTACCTCTTGACGTCTATATTTTTATTTTAATGCACATTGAGATGATTATCTGCTTGCTTGATGTATAATGGTGATTGTATGGCGTTGGTATTATGAATTATAACTTATACTACTATCCATACGTTGTAAAGCGCAATTACACATTTTACTCACAGTTGTACTTGGATGTGTAAAAAGTGGAAAGCGTATTTTACTTCATTGTTTAAATATAAAAAAAAAAAATCTTGTAGGGTAATTCACTGACCAAGAAGGAATCAGGCAAGGTTCTGTTTTTATCATTAACTGATTTACAAAATTTGTCACATTGAATGTCGTTATTAGCTATTTTCTTCTCGGTGTGTAATAAGCTTCACATTTGCTGAAGGAATCAGAAAGATTCATAACTATCGTACAAATATAACACAGTGTTTCTAGTTTGATGTTCGAATCTCCCTTTCATTTTAAACTCTAAGTCTCAACATTTTCGGTAGACAACCGAGGGACGCTTTGCGTTTATTTCATAATACACCCTGCCTTTGGTGGGGCGTGTAAAAATATCAAATATGTTAGAGAATATATTTAAAGATTAAGCTATAAATAAAAAATGAAAAAGACTCATTTTTCATGTCAGAATGGCGTGCTTGTGTAATTTAATATGAAATATACGACAGTGTCAACATTAAATTGAGACTCGAAGTCAATCTTTAGAGACAGCAGGAACTTAGATGACACCGATAAGGAAAAGAACGGTATAATGAACCGGAAGTTGTGCGAGGAAATAATCAGTGTATGCTTTTTAGCCCATATACTCTGATATACCAGATTTTTAAAAAGGTGCGTCCTTACTTCTTATTGGTAATGATAACTTAAGGAGTTGGGTAGGGTGTGCAGGTTGGTGAAAACTATGGTTTTATGCTAGAACTCATAATCAATGGGAAATATTGCATTTCGTTGTGTGAAACGGAGGTAAACATCTTTACTGTGTTCAACAGTGTGCGTTGTTGTTTTGTTGTGAATCCCTTGTTCTGTCTTTGAAAGGTGAAATTACTTGGAGTTTACCTATATTTAACTAGCGGTTTTCGTGGATGAAGAAGAAGGCGCTTAATCATCCAGAAATCCTGCATTATTCCCCTTTTACGTTTTGTATTTAATCTTTTGACCCAGTTTTAAAATTTCGAATTCGACTTCATTTTATGGTTTTGTTGAAACTTCGGTATATTCTTATTCTTTATTTTTCAATTATACTTTGTCTTTCGGATCATTTAGTTTAGATTCCCAGTAAATCGTATACAGTTATACCAGAAATATAATTTTGTGATAATGAGTTTTTTAATATAAGGGCTATGATTCTCGTCACAATTTTTTTATTGCATCTCGCAAGATTCAAGCTTTATTTTCTTAAAATCATATAAGTTCCTTTATATAGTGTATCAACGGATTTGAGTAAGTTAAAGTAGTATGCCTACATTAGACGTATATTTGGTTTGAATAAGTCTGGACTTTGGATAACACCGTTGCAATTACTCATACATGTCAGCAGTTTGCTACCGAAGTATACCGGGTTTGATTTATACAATGTCCGAATTAAACAGAAATTATACGGAATTTTTTTCACTGGCACTTACCTAATACGGTCCGATTCGATGGTATTGTTGGCCCTCAGTTTCTTCACTAAGATGCGGATAATGTTGATTAGGAATAATAAATTAATCTGAAAATGTATAAATAGATATTAAGGTAGGGAGGATAGGTTATGACAAAAATGTGATTAAATATAACACCAATGAACTATCTGCTTTAGATGTATAGCAATATGATTGAAGTTTTGTCAACGAAAAAACAAATACAATTGAAATGTTGGCTGGAATTGATGACAATAACACTGAAATGGTTTATACAAATGATTGATTCCACTTTATTATTGTGCTGATAAATTACACATTATACTGAAATAATGAACTACTGTTTGATACTTACAATCAATGCTGCGAGGAACGGGACTATGATGATGTAAATAAAGGGCATTTGGGAGTAGTTGCCCCAACATGAATTTGCGTTCTCGAAATGCATGACGATCGCCCACGTGACTATTACCAATGCTGGAAAACCTGCAACGTCAGCAAGAAAATAGTTACATTTACTTTAAATTCAATCAAACACACATACAGGCACGATTTTACTGGTGTTTTTTTTCTCAAGAGAAGATTTGTTATTGTAAAAGAAAGAAGTAGTTCCAAATGTCATTCACTGCGCCGGGTATTTTTCAAATAATAAATCTTTATCAGCAATGCTGGAAACCAAATGTCAAAGTTGCAAAAATATCATTGAAAATGAAGAATATCTGTCCCACTCCAGACATAAACCTTTTTTTCTCTCTCTAGTTTTCGTATCAAACATAATTTCTCTTATTATATTGATATAACTGTATATGGACTGAACCTACAATGTGTGATCTACTATGGATCAGGTAGCTTAGTTAAACTGAACCTACAATGTGTGATCTACTATTGATCAGGTAGCTAAGTTAAACTGAACCTACAATGTGGGATCTACTATTGATCACGTAACTTAGTTAAACTGAACCTACAATGTGTGATCTACTATTGATCAGGTAGCTTAGTTAAACTGAACCTACAATGTGTGATCTACTATTGATCAGGTAGCTTAGTTAAACTGAACCTACAATGTGTGATCTACTATTGATCAGGTAGCTTAGTTAAACTGAACCTACAATGTGTGATCTACTATTGATCAGGTAGCTTAGTTAAACTGAACCTACAATGTGTGATCTACTATTGATCAGGTAGCTTAGTTAAACTGAACCTACAATGTGTGATCTACTATTGATCAGGTAGCTTAGTTAAACTGAACCTACAATGTGTGATCTACTATTGATCAGGTAGCTTAGTTAAACTGAACCTACAATGTGTGATCTACTATTGATCAGGTAGCTTAGTTAAACTGAACCTACAATGTGTGATCTACTATTGATCAGGTAGCTTAGTTAAACTGAACCTACAATGTGTGATCTACTATTGATCAGGTAGCTTAGTTAAACTGAACCTACAATGTGTGATCTACTATTGATCAGGTAGCTTAGTTAAACTGAACCTACAATGTGTGATCTACTATTGATCAGGTAGCTTAGTTAAACTGAACCTACAATGTGTGATCTACTATTGATCAGGTAGCTTAGTTAAACTGAACCTACAATGTGTGATCTACTATTGATCAGGTAGCTTAGTTAAACTGAACCTACAATGTGTGATCTACTATTGATCAGGTAGCTTAGTTAAACTGAACCTACAATGTGTGATCTACTATTGATCAGGTAGCTTAGTTAAACTGAACCTACAATGTGTGATCTACTATTGATCAGGTAGCTTAGTTAAACTGAACCTACAATGTGTGATCTACTATTGATCAGGTAGCTTAGTTAAACTGAACCTACAATGTGTGATCTACTATTTATCAGGTAGCTTAGTTAAACTGAACCTACAATGTGTGATCTACTATTGATCAGGTAGCTTAGTTAAAGCAATTGTATTTTGCTCGGATGTCCAGGGTTCAAATCCGGGTTCGGCCCCGTTGCGTTTTTATTCTCAGAACCTTGTTTATGCATTTTTTCATCCCTGTTAGTTTTTCACAACAGTTCCACAAGTTTCGTTTTTCTTTCCAGAAATGATTAACTCAGTATTAAAACTCTTGTCGTGTCGATAAAAAGTAACGATTCATATACAGTGGGATTCCTAATAAATTGAAAAATATGGGAGATATTGTTGCTGACCATTATCATGGTTTTCATTTCAGAAAGGATTTTCTCAGTATTTAAGCCCTTGTCTTTTCGTTTACAAGAAACAATTCATATAAGGGAATTTTTAAATTAGATGAAAAATATGGAAGGTGTCCTTGCTAAACCTTTTAGCAATGACAAGCTCTATTAACAGTAAAATTGAATTTCTACGATCAATGTTGCTAAATGTGTTGAATTTCTACAAAACCTTCGGTGCCGAACTCTCACGTTGTAAAAAACTCTGAAGCATGTCTATTGTACCATGTATCATCTACCGTGCTTCTACAAGACATCGAACTTCCGTAGTGGCGTATGAGGATATTTGTTCCTAACCTTAATTGATAACAACGAACTTGAACTTTGTTTTTATTTTATTCCCGATATAGAACATAAAAGCCAAGCTAATGTTTCAGTATATTGTCGGTCGATCTCATTGATCTTCCATCATTTTCGTATTAATTGACGTTCCTTAAGTTTACTTTCTTCCTGTTATCGTCGATCTCGGAACGTTGGTGATGAACGTCGCTAATTAGAGATCATTATGTTTGCTGATTATGGCCGTCTTAATGACAAAAAATAACTATACCTTTATAGTTTTTATACACGAAAATACCGGTAAAACACATTTCAGACAGAATGTTTGCTGATTAAGATCGTCCTCACGACAACAGCAAACTGATTGATTTCTTTAATACTCGGACAAACCGGTAAAACACATTTCAGACAGTACTCACAGGAAACTAGCAGTATAATATATTGTCTGACGAGAGTTCTAATTGACAGTTGGAAAGGTGGACAAACAAAAAACATTGACTGATCGATCACGCACTGGGGAATGCGTCATTTCTCGTACATTACCTTAAACAAAATTTGTGTATTGTTATTTATCAATATGTATATAATATTATCTCATTTTTCAAGCGAGAAAGGTAGCTTATGTTGCGAATTCAGGTATTTTCTGGGGACCAAAATTCGTTGTTACCCAAAAAACACCATTTCGCTAGTACATGAATACGCGGATTAGGAGTGCCTACTCATACGGAAAAAAACATTATGTCAGACATGTAATTATTGTGTGGACCCATACATTCGTGGATGAAGAGTATCCGTAGCATAAACGAAATTAAAAACCTCAAAATTAATATTTTGACTGTATACAAAAATTATAAAGCATTTTAAACATCTGTTTAAGTTATAACCTAAATAAAAAAAATGAAAACTTAATATTTACTGTATATCGATTTCATTTTATTGTGGTAAATTTTGTTGATCACATTTATTGATTCGCGGGAGTTGCAAAGCACCGATAGGGTAGGCTAATTCAACCGGGTACTTGTCAGTGTATAAAGAAGAATTCAGGCAGTTTGGTAAGCGTGTACTAAGAAAAACCAGGAAGAGAATTGAAATAAAAAAGAAAGTAGACAGGAAAGATACGAAAGAAACACCAAGTATCGCAATGTGGTCAGTAGACTTGTTTCGGTCGCTGTAATGTGCTTTGAGTAGAAGACACAGAAAGAAGCCCCGCTCCTGCAGGGGGACAAACATTAGTCGCCTCTTACGACACACATGCCGTGGATGTGATACAGTAGGTCTATTTTTGGTTTCTTTAATGTCCCAAACAGAAGTCAGGAAATAAATCATCCCCGATTCGACAGGATGTTGCACAAATGAAATATTGAACACAGGTATTTCCTTGTATTCGCTTTTTTTCCATGGTGGTAACAAACAAACGGTCTATTTCTAAACTACCTATAATGAAAAGTCGTTTTAAACCACGTTGAAGTTCTGGTTTCAAACTACACTATGTTAATATCTTCTATGTTTAAACTCTTTTTGATTGTCTAATATATTTGAAGTGATCTAGATATTTTACTTGATCTGACGGTTGTCATAAATAAATTCATTTCCTTTTCTGTATGTAGACATTCCCCAGCCCGAGGAAATTATTGAAAGAGACGTTTCAAAGCTGAATATAGCATACACACATATTATAAATCTATCATTCGTACGTAGAGGAAGACATCATCCTTCTTAGAGCTGAATACACAATACACACAGATGCTATTTCGGGCGGATGTAGACTTACCCCAGCCAATGAAGAAGAATAGCTTGAAGGGCGCCTCGGTGCTGAAGACTGATACAACTATACTATTATGTAGAAAGAGGCCCTCCACAAACATCCAGTAGATATTGGCCAGTGCCGTGTACTGATTCAGAACTTGAAATAGCTTACACAGCCACTCCTGCAATAAGACATGGAGACATATCTCTTGAATAAATTAAGTTCATTTCAACGTTGTTGCAATGCGGTTCACATATGATTTGTTCATTTTTAAGTCTCTACGGAAAAATACATTTTTGAAAATATTCTTTGTGATCGTGATCAAATCAAGCGGAAAAGGTGTCCGATACAGGAACGATATTTTTTTCGGAAAATTCAAAACAAATTTTGAATATTTCTATCAAACTGTCTCAGGGGTAGAAAACATAACATAGTTTTACCCCGATACACGACAAATTATATTGTTTATCTAATATTAAGGATCACTCTCCCAATGCTGTCAAATCACTAGAGTATTTTATGATAGTTTTTAATATTTACATTTATTTCGTTTTAAACATGCCTGTAGTCGGGCTGAGTCAAGAAACTACAGCTGATCACGTAGCAAAGTTGGTTGAAGTAACTTTGTTGTATTCAGGTTTCAGGTTTAGAATCCCCAGCCTGTATTAACATATCCATTGAATGCTCAAACTAAGATTCTTTGCTCAAGCCCAATATTTTGTTTCCGCGATATATAAATAAATAAAAACAATCCCCTTTTATCAATAAGATGGAATGATTAAGAGAAACGTACAGCCAATTACTGTTTTCAATATCTACACTTGCCTTCCTGACCATTTTACATGATTAAAGCGAGTTTAAAGAAAGTTTCATGAAGACGAGCACCGGTCTCTCCTTATTGGCTTTATGTTCTCAGAACACTTCTATTTAATCTATATCATTTTACTTATCGTTCCTCAAGGTATTGGTTCTTGTCAGAAGTAATTAACTGATGTTCTTGTCATGCTCGTAAAATGTTTCAAATTCAGAGTGGCTGTTTTAGGCGGCGGCACGGGGACCCTAAAGAACTAAACAATGTTGAGCACAGAAATATTTTCTTGGCTGTCAGACAGGTACATTTCTGTCTGCGCTAGAATAATGGAAGATATCATCACTGTGTGATATGTTATATAGACTAAGATATATAAACCTGCGGGTAAAACTTTGACAAATCAACAAAGATTCGTGTTGAACCCCAACATTTTGCAATTTTACTGTCTATATTCATTAGTGTGACTGATGAGTTTCTCCCACACTTTTGAACCGTAAAAGTTGTAGTGGTGAACCCACTGCACTGGGCTTTCATCACAAACATCTGTCTCATGCTAGTGTTTTCCAGCTGCCTTCATCTAGGTAGATCAAGACAAATTTATCTTTTGCCTAGTAGGAACGGAAATGCACCTGTTAAGTGTGGGTGAAAACCCTGTCTAGCACTTAGGTCTTGAAATTGCAAGTGCTGCATTTAAATTGCAAATAAAAACAAATCGCCCAGGGAATTAGAAATGGACTTCCTAAAACTCAGAGGAAGCATGTTGAAAGAAAAACAAAATTTATCTAATGATTCAGATCTCTTGTCTGCGCTTTGCATAAGTGATAAATTATGTTAGTCAAAGATGAATGACAGTGATTTACAAACGCCAATAGGCATTATATCACTGAAAGATGCTCCTTTAAACTGAGAAGGTGCATACTGATTGGATTAACTATCTGTCTTGAAATAGACGCTAATTTTACAAATGGTTTTAAATACAGCATTACTTAGTCATGTCGAGCGTATAAAACGTTGCATATCTTTTCTAATATTCGAACTGATAATTTGGTCTTAACCTACATAATCCTGTCATTATTTCCTGATTAAATTTTCATCACCCGGAAAACATGAAAGTTCTCCCTTTTATAAGTTCAATAAAAGAGGGTTTCCTCTTTTACAGTTTTATGCTTACTACATAATTTATCAAATAGTGTTTTGATATTACAGTCACTTACCAGATCTTGGTAGGAAGTTGCCCGACCTGTCACTAGAGGTTCAATCATGACGATGAGGACGACGAAACGGATGATGAATGATACAACGAGGTTCTTGTGGATGGCTATCCGACTACACTGAAGTGCTCTAAATATGAAAATGGAAACAATATCAGACCTAAATGTCATTACTTTAATCACTTAATTTTCGCAAATATCATTTTCATATTGGCAGTTGTTCTTGCAAAGACTTACTCGCGAGAATATATACAGGAGAAAAGACAATATTGTGTTCACTGTCAAACGGCATCAAAATTGATACTTTAAAAGGTTTTTGTTGCGGTCAATAAATTTCAAATATTCACTAAAATGGTCAATATTGCGTGATCTACTTTTGCAGATTTCAGGTCAAGTGACCATGACTCATAGTACTTGAGGTGGATGAAAAATTCTTTGAATTTTGTTGGTTGTAATTTTTGCGAAAATATCGTTACAACGAAAATCGCGAAAATTAGATTATTATTTTATTTTTATTTTTTACTGCAGATATCTTATATCTTAATTTGCAGTCAGATCACTAAGCTTATTTATGCGAGCACAAATTCATTCAGAAAGACAATTGATTTAAAAAAGATACAAATCTGCCATCACGAACATTCTTTTTAAGGGAGCTCCATTACTTCAAATTTCCCAAGAAAAACTTCGCTTTAGGACATGAAAGTTAAGCTCCTGTTAAAAACATTCCGCATGCTTATTTGAATATTTTTTGATGAATGCATCAAAAAGAGTTTCGAAATATATTTGGAATTATAAGAAGTTAACGACGTATCGGTAAAGGTATAGCGGCAACAACGAGGGATAGAAAAAATAAGTCGTCAATTCATTCCGACAAATCCGAGCTAAATCAAATACATATAAGGAAGAATTCTTTTGCAAAACCTACATTAACAAAACAAGTAGAATATGATAATTAAGGATGACAAATTTACATCTATCATCGGTATAGCATATTTGTTCACGCCCACATTATGTTCATAACCCATGCTCTTGTATGTGCATTAGTTTGGCCCATTCTATTGTTCTCTGCGGCAAATATACATATAATTTGAACATAAAATATGGTTATAGACCAGGTTATGAGTATTTGTGACATTCATGTGACGTTTCGTCCAACATGACGAACGTGTGAAATCAATTTCATCACCGCATATGTATTTCGCAGACATGAAGTGTATCGGGGGTATACTCTGTGTGGGTTAGTGTGCTCAAGAGGAAAACGTGACGTAAGGATGGAGAGGAGACTTTCGTCATGCTGTGTATCGTATGCGTATTGATATGGCGAATGGATAACAGCAAACGTAAGTGAGAGGAATCGCTTTGTATAGAAAACCACAGGAGTGTTAATGAGACCGCCACATAACGTCCTTGACCTTGGTGAACGTATGACCGTCACCTTGGTTACATATACTCATTACCTCGATGACGGTATATACATTATTTTGGTGGCAGTATCATGTTCACCATAGATACATTTTACGCTTCACCTTAGTTTGCGGTATGGATTGTAGTATACTTCGTCTTTCAACTACGTAAGACTATGACCTTGACCTAGGTGACAGTATCATTTCCCACTTTGGTGAAATATGTCATTCACCTTGATGACATTTTCATTTTGCGTAAAGTGAATATCTGATGCTTGAGTAAAAAATCATAATTATTTCATCTTTAGTAAATCATATAATATGACATTAGAATTTAATGTAAGCGATAATGTGTGTTGCAATCTAAACCTGATTTAACGCTTCTGCATCAAAGCCATAAAACACATGTTTATATTTATAAACATGTATGTGTATTGTTGTTGTAATTGGGTAAATATATATGAAATAGATTGAAAGTATATATGTAGACACAAGCTTTTTATACACTCTATGTTCTACGAAGTTAACGATGTCGCGGAAACATGGAAGAGCTAACACCTAAGCAATCCACGCCGGTTTTATTTGGTGTTATTTTATTACCTCCATTGTGATTTACACAAAACTTCCTTCATGTTCGTAGACTCGCCAAGTTGCAACAGAAAAGCATATATGTATTTCATGAAGATGACATTTAAAAGAAATTCTTGGGCTTATTATAATAAGAGCAAGATATCAACTGTTCATGACTCACTCTCCAACAGAGTAAAACTATTGAAAGTCATTTGAACGTTCGTTCACGGTCCCAAAACCAGAGAAACCAAATCATGTTTGAAAGTCTGCAGTCGATGATTCGATAAGTATATGATCCACATTACCATTGTTATATACATCCATTGACTCGAAATGTTGGATATAACATATTTAACGTAATACTCGTTCAGACTTTCACACAAGTATAAACGTTAAATAAGCTGTTTCCGTTTAACGTTAATGAATTATATAGAATGGAGGGCATACATTTCTCTGTATTAGGCATTGTTGCTCCTGACGCGATTCCTTTAAAAGAGAATCGATATTTCCGTTATGTCCATTAACATTTATGTCTTATGTCTTAAATGGTTCCGATCTGCGATTGTGACAGACAAGTTGGAAATATCACATCAGACCGCCCCTTGTATTTTTCTTATAGTTGAACATAACCTTTTTACCAAACGATACATTGACCTCGAGAGACACGACAATATTGTCATGTTTTAATGGAAATGCGGTTTATAGCAACGATGCAAATTTGAAGATCCAATGATAGTTACCAGATTGCTTTTATTGTCAACTGTTTCTTTTCAGTAACATTTTGATAAATGACTGTAATTGCTGACGTTTCGAAACGCACTGTCTTGTATTAATTGAGCCGAGTTGCTATGCGACTATGCAGCATAGCTCTTGCCGCCGTGCTTAATGTAATTGTAAATGTTTTGTTGTATTTATACCGTCATCTTCCATATCCGTGTATTCTCCTTCATATGTTGTAACACTTAAAGAACCATATGAATATCCACAGATGTATCTTTATTTCAAAAGATAATTAGTAATCACAGACTTGCATATGGGTTTGTGACACAAATAGAAATATTGTACACGTGCGTGGGAGTTGGGGCATACGCACTTGTGTGGGTAAATATCATTGAAAACTATAAAACATACGAAAGATAGACGGAAGCCAGTTTTCTTCTGGAAAGGAAAACATAAAAAAAAAAAAATACAGCTGAAGACGACGAATTATGTCAAATGGAGGAGTACTTGTGGGATCAAGCGTTTGGCCTGAAAATGCATGCATTCACTTTATTGAACAAGGAAAATAAAAAACAAAATATTAATTAATGCATTTATGGAAATTGAATACTTACAAATACATAATTATAAACAGAAATAAACTAGAAACATATGTTAACAACAGCTAAAATAATACAACCTATATATTTGTCGGTTAAAAACCACACGTGCATCTATAGGATTTGATTTATGAGTGAGCAAACCTGCTCAGTGTAGTCTATTTAAGACGCCACCATTGAGCACAACTCGGTTAATGTCGTAACGACCATATCTTATGAGATAAGTAATTTGTTTCGTCATTTTTATAAAATTGCAGACAGATGCTTGGAGTGTTGCACGTTTTTGTAGATATAGGATACGCGAGCATCTGACTGTGGGTAAAGCCCGTAAAACCGTTTCTGTATCACAAACGATGGAAGGAACCATATTCATAATCCTGAAGAGTGGGAGAATTGCCATTTAGAAGCAAATAAATCACAGGAATGAGAACGTGTGTCATAATAAAAGATAATTTAAAGTGTACATAATCCTTCGGTCCCATTATACGGAATAGCTAACCGAATCGAAATAGGAGTCTTTGCTTTTAATCGTATCATAAAAAGGCAAAGTATCTAATGTAAAATGCAGACGCAGTGATTTGTTATGCAGGGTTGTCAGATTAAATTACTTTACAAAGGAAATATCAACATTTTTTTATGGAAAATTCAAAATATTCGCTCTATTTTACAGGGACCATATAATTAGCCATCTTAACCGAATTTTTCAGAGCCATTTGGTTTCCTATCTCCTTGACTACCAAACATTAGTTTCAGTTACAACATAAATAATTTAAATGCGCCATCCACGTAATGTATACAACTGCGATTTGAAATAGTGTTGTCTTTCCCTCATCATGTGATGGATATTCCTGTCTGGGTCCTAATTGATGTTTAAGAAAGCAGACAAAGACTATATATCAATTTTCACAATCGTTTCGAAATTACTTTTTTTATATACATAGGGAAGTATTCAGAAAGAGAGGTAGATACAATGATATGAATATATTTAAAACCATGATACACAATGAATTCTTCGAATAATTATATAACTTTATACAAATTATATATAACTATAAAATAATATGATAAATGTTTTAATTGTGTTTGCTTACACTTATGTTTTGATATGATTTCTACCTTTTCTGACGTATACTTACCCATTTGGCTTGTACTGAATTTCTATAGATATACCATTTTTTGATTCAGGCATTAATCTTTCATTCAATGATATTCTCATTCTGAATAACATACCACAAATGTCAACCTCCGTTTTACCATTTGTGACAAAGTTTGGTTAAGCTATCATAAATAAAATCAAATAATTGGTTTATGTAAAGTACATTTGCTTAAATGCATACTATTTGTTTCGCTATATTTGATATATAAGATATATAACAACCGATGTTAATTGTGTTTGATGATTGAATAACTAGGGTAGTACGACTAAGAATTGATTGCATAGTGAGGTTTATTCTCGCGAATAGATAAACGTATCGAAAACGCAACATATAAGCCCCGCGAAAAAGGACAACTTTATAGAAAGCAAAATGTCTTTTTGCATTGAAATGAAAAGTAAAACTTAAAGGGGAAAATGTTCCGGTATAATGATCAAAGTTCTATGAGGTCAGAAGCTTACCATTTAAATGAAAACCAATTATATGTCACACTATTCTTTAAAGCGTATCATGTATTTGATATGCATTATTGTGCAGATATGATGCCCTTAATTTTATTCATTACTACGCCTTATCCTAAAAATATCACGAGTGGGGCTGAAAAATACTTTTAAACTAAAGTTAAGAAGTGTAAAACAGTACTTACCTAAAGTATGAGAAGATGAAGAGTGTGACGATGAGGAAGACAAGAGAGAGGATACTGCAGACGAAATAGATGTCCCGTACAATCATCCACAGATGGGTATTCTAGGAAAGGAGAATACACCTTTTTTATAACAAGGTTGCCGGTGAGATATTGAATTAAATCAACATAATAAAATTGATATCTGTAAAACTGTGACAGAAATAATAGGAGATAATTGTCACAGTGGGAAGATATCAAATTTGATATTGACCAATCAAAACAGTTCTTCGTATTAACTGCATCCAAAGCCACAAACTTGTTTGTTCACATGCAGATAAAGCGACGGTAGAATACATAAATGCTTTGGTACATCTTTGTTACTTACACTAAAATATTTATCTAAATAGAAAATTGAAAACAACTTGTATGCAAATTTGACAAAATATTGGCAGCAAACGGTAAAATTATTTTGAGTAGCGCATTGAAAATAGTGCACAGCCTCGTTGTCAAGCATGACGTCATCATAATGACGCCAACATGTATGCTATAAATCCCATAATATTTTGTGCAGTGATTTTTTTTCGATGTAGTTTTCACATGGAATACGATTCTTATGTCACTCGTTTGAAATCCATTAATTTTCCTCTATGTACATGAAATTTAGTGAGTTTAAGTAAAACAATAATGTAAAACAACAAAAAAATCACTCATCTTATTGGTTGAGATGATATCATGTAATTGTTTTGTGAAGTTTCAGTCACAAAATATGGGTTAATGCGTCGATTCGCTTATTCAAATTCAAAGTGATACATCATTTACTTGTAAACTGAGAACACAGAATTTGCCAAGTCGGTCAAGCTGTGTTCACTGTTACCAATCATGACAAATACAACCTTGTTGGACGACCATGATAACAGCGTTTTTGTCTGATGATTTTTAACTCGGTTATACTTATCTAACAGGTCTATAAACGACCGTACAAACCTCTTCAAAAGTCCTTAATTTACCTTAGGACCCATTTAATTTTGTACAGAATGAAAGCAAGTGAATAAAATATTGAACTGGTTATCTGTTGGTAAATTTTGCATGCACATTGAAATGGTTGAAAACGTTATCTCTGCGCCCCTGATGTTTTAAGAAATCTTCGCCAAAGTGTAATTTGTTTGTTTATCGCTTCTATTTTTCGTGGCTTTCCTCATTCAGTTACTTATCATTTCAGTCGATAACAACGCCAGTGCAATTACTTTTAACGCCTTGACTTAATTGCACAAAATTAAACGTAAGTGTGTTCGTCTTAATTTCTAATCAAACGAAGATCCATCAAGTGATAATTTACTTCATATCAAAAAGAAGCCAACCGCATGCTTTGGAGTCAATGCATTGCAATTATTGTTGAATAAATTGTTTTATCATCTTAAAGTGCCAATAAATAGACTTGTTACTGTAAAAAACACGCTTAGTTGAAATTTATATTCACAATTTCATGAAAAATACATATTATATGAGTTTGTGTGATATAGAAATTCGTCTGTAACGTTCAAAGGACATAAATCTGTTCGGCTCCCACGAACCAGTTTTTTGAGGATCCCCTTACCACTACCAGACTGTGACTATGCACTGGGAATCAATTTTGCCGGTAGGACTATTCCGTCTTTGCGTGTTGCAGAGTTATCTTCTCTTGAAAACAGGTATTGATTGTTACGTCATTTGTTTGTGAGAGTAACGTCATCAATTTTTGAGAAAACGACGTAATTTTCTTACACAAACCAATGACGTAACAATCAATACCTGTTCCTAAGAGAAGATAACTCTGCAATACGCAAAGACGGAATACCTGTAGCTATGATAAATAGCTTTTGAAAGAATTCACACCTTGCGGCACTTTTTGTAAAAAATAATAGAGACGAAATAAAAAAAAAAATCAATAACAATGTTCTGATTGTAAACATTCAGCGCAACTAGACAATGAATCGAACCCCAGACTTCAGATAGCTATATTTTACCGACTGAGCCACTTCGTAAACGGAAGTGTTCTGTCCCAAATGCTACGGCTATAGCCAAAATCAAATTGAAGGGAGGTTACTGTATTAACGAGGAAAACACCACAGCAGTGGGACAGGGATAAAGTAAAACAAGGTAAAAAAAACCAATAGTTTAGTGCCAAATTGGTCTATACTACTGTTGAAACAGAAGTGAACGCGTATACGAATCCTTACTTAAGGTACAATCAACACAGAGTTCAGTATGGTACGATTCAAGATATTATTAATAGTATAGTTAAAGAATATTGAATGCAAATTGTGATTAATTTTGATATGTTCTTTTTCTCACTTTTTCCATTTTGTTGGTCTCCTTTTACTACTAATTGAAAAAAAAACCGCTTGAATTGCGTTTCATTTACTTATGTTTAATGCACTCCAAAACTGGTCAACTTAAACTACATTGCATACTTATATCGACATATTTAATAATCTAAAAGCACTATAATGTATGAATCAGACATTTGAAGTCTAAAAAAACAAATTGTAGCATTAGCTGCTTCTATATTGTGTTAAACGCTATGTACTGTGTCTAGGTACAAATCGATGTACACATCCCCCGCAGCTGTAAAGGGCATCACATATTGATGACGTCAGACAATTTCCATGTCTATTTGTCAAGTCAAAAGTACTAGCTTCTCCCTAAGGAAACATCAATCAGTTTCATTGAGGAAGTTTCGGAAAGATGGAGAATTGGGTATTCGAAAAGAAAATAATCGTGAGACAAATGGGAGCTTTACCAAAAAGAAATGAAAGTTGTAAAAGCAAGAATAATATTAGAAAAAGAAAGGACAGTGGTTAAAAAGCAGGATATTGGGATATAGAGAGTGTGAGATACTGGATATATTAATACATAATAAAATTATTAATAATACAATCTTTACAATAATAAGTTTCTGTTATGAAATAATATGACGTGCTATTAAAAAGTGTAACAGATTAGTCCAATATTCGTGTAAGTTATAATACCAGCAACAATATCAAGGGTTACCTACAGAGGTTGCTTCAAATTACGCTGCCGACACATTATTTCAAAATTTGATATGTTTTGGATGATGATGATAAAAGTTTATGACTCTCTGCAATTCATGTAGCTCATTCGTAACTGAAAACTTTTCTGAGCTTAATGATCTCTGCAACTATGTATTGTTAACTTTTCACTTAAGAAAAATAAACAGAAATTGAAATTTTGATCTTCGCCACCCTACTAAACTTAACTACCGGTAACGGTAGTACCCTGGCCCAGTCGGGCAACATTTATATTCACAGTGAAATTAAAGGACTATTACATTGCGGATTCATTAATGATTTGCCTGCAGTGGGACAGCTGAAGGTCGTGGTTCGAATCCCAAGACATTTTTACACTCGGAACACTGTATTGATTTATTTTTGGTTTATTTCATCTTTTTTTTATAAAGGTTCTAGCAGGTAAAGATTTTATTCAGAAATGTAGTTTGTCATTGCTATAGTCATTCCGGATAAAAACTCAAATGCATAATTATCTTTTTGGTAGTGGTAAGGGGATACTTAACTTAACATTTCAACACGAGTAGGATAGGAGGTGTATAGTGCTAAATAGAAGGGCAGGGCTAGTGAAGGCTGAGTAAATAGAGAACTAGCGAGACGAGACGATGCAGTTTTATTGGCATGGACGGAGAAGATGCTTATATTGGTATTAGGCAAGCAATATGTTTATTTATAAATAAGAGGAGGAACATAGCCGGTACCTAATTTAACGAGTTACATAATTTATTAAATCATCGCTGATGACCATTTAACGATTTTAAACTGATTAATTCTAACTCAGTTTTAATTTTATGTGCATCTTAATTACATGATTTATTTATTGATATCAATTATGATCGTTTTCCTAACCCTACTACAATTATCAAAAGGAGGCTATTAAAATGTTATGTTATCCCTAACGATCTCCTTTTAATTGTCATTCAAGGTTAAAACAATGATGACTTCCCTTCGCAATTAATCGCAATTACACTTGATAGTGCTGATCTTTAGATAATGGGCCTTATTTTAGTTGATAAAGTTGGAGAACACAGCACCACAGGGGAATGTAAAACTGTCAAACGTTTTCTAAACTGGATATCAATGAGACACATAAAGTTCGAATTAAAGGCCGTCAGCTTTAAGTTGTTTCCTATAGAGAAAATGGAAGTTTCATTTATCTTTTATTTAACATCAGTACATTATAGAAAGTAAGAACCGTTAACCTTGGTCGGTGCATGACTTAATTAGAAGTTGTTTGTTGACAGTTTAGCAAAAGAATCAGATATAATCGGTGCGACAAATCACTTGTATATTAACTACAGTGAAGGTATATATAAATACGACATTCGTTAGAGTGTGACCCTATGCACTGTCAAACTCAGAAGAATGTAGTATTTATTTTATAATACCAAAAGTCAATAATAAAGTTTTCAAATTTGTAACAAGCATGGTATTTTTTTTATCTTTTCGTTACATCGTCGTACCAATCACCGGCAAGTTATATACAGAAGCGACATCGAGTCCCTACCAACCAACATGCGCGATGAATCGCAATGGAAAACAACATGGCGACTGAAATGAACCGTGACCGCATCTTCTATGCGCGGTCACTATATTGCACTGTAACACACACTGTCATTCGTTACTAGTGCATTAGGAAGTAACATTTCATTGACTCAATATTAAAACGAATGTGACAGTGTGAAATGAACATTTTGTCTCTAACAATCAAGTAACAGGATTTTCACTTTTAGATTAAGACAGACTATTGTATCCTCGCATGTGATGATGTAAGTTAAGATATAGTGAGAGTAGTGAACAAGCAGGATGTTTTATCTTTCTATTTACTGCATTCAAACATTTTTTTTTCTATTCATCTGCAAATGAAGCGATGGTAAAATAAGTGGTGGTTTTGGTACATCTTGGTACAGTACATAAAAACAATGCCTAAACATAAATACATAATTCTTGCAGATCGTACTAGATAAAAAAAGAAAAATTACATAATTGCTTTAAGTAGTTAACCAATCAAAATTGAGCGATGCCTTGTTGTAAAATGTGATGTCATATTAATAATGCAAAACTTACTTTAGTTATCACAGCATTTTTCTATGCAGCGACGTTTTTGTCTTTGCAATTTTAATAGAATATTGATATTCTGTCATAACCGTGAAATATATTTGGTACCCAGAGTAATTGGAAACCTATTAATAGTAATAGTTATTTAATCTTCTTTGAGATATTACAGTATTGACCACGGTTTTAATTCAAAGATACGAACAACACAGCTATTGACAAGAAATATCCTGATGAAAGACTAAAACTAAATCGTTATTTCAACTATTACAGCATTATCTTCAGAGCGGTGACATTGACGTCGTTTAGAATGGCTTTAAAATCTCAGAGAATTACAAATCAATGCATTTGTAATGTTTTTATCAATTGATATAGATGAATAGAGATCGCTGTGATAACCTATCAGGAAATTGCGCGACAATCTGGGTCACCAGAAAATTTGATTAAATCTCTTACGTTGCAGTCAACGCTACAAGCCAGATAATACTCACTGTAACATGTTTGAGTGTATCTATGCATCGATTACAATCACTCAACCTCCGTACAGGCAAGCCGTTGGCATGCAGGTTGGTCAGCAATGATAGTGATAAATTGGAGGAGGGCTGTTACACACAATTGCATGTCGTAAAAGACATCTTAAGGATATATGTTTACAAATCCGTTCAGACTTCCTATACAAACACTATCAGAAGACATTGAGATCATAGGGCTATGCACGCAATTTTCCGTTTAATCACTATATGCTACCACAATACTATATTGATCTTCTTTCCAGAGAGATCCAAAATAAGAAGTTACAGGTATGTCCATCATTGAACAATCATTTAGAATGTAGTTTATATAGTTTATAATATCTAAAAAATTGACGTTTTATATATTTATGACAAGTTGATAAAAGCGACATCTTTCACTCATTTTTATTTGGAGAAAACAGAACGATATTTTCTGTTATTTGCACTGACAGATCAGCTATAGAGCTGGTAGAATAAGTTGTTGTTTTATCACGTCTTATAAAACATACAAAATTACATATTCGAGATCATGTTTGTGTGCAAATCTTATCCGGTGATAGCAGCAATAAGAGAATGGGGTTGAGGAGTCGATTACAAATTTAGTAAACCTTGTTGACAGGCGTGAAATTATTAGAATATGGTGCAAAAGATTACACTACTTGCATTTTTTCATGTAGTGCAATTTCCGATTATATACTTGAATATGTATTAAACAAAGAATGTTTTAAATTGATTATTACTTCAATTTAACTATTAATGTAAATATACCATAAACTGCAACGTTTCGGGGCTATATGTCTTACTATGATTATTTGTACATACCATTGTATGCATCTACAATTGTCTGAATTTTTTCCAAGTTTATAAACAGACTGACATATGGGTCCTGATAATATTGCTCTTAGATCATGCACACATTTCCCCATAAACGAGACTTGTTGGCCCTGATATCACTCCCTCCATCTTATTCATACGCCCCGCCCCTCTCCCCGAAAATACCTGACAGGATGATGAATTTGCATCCGCACCTCTAACATTATTTATATTTGATAGAATATAGTTGATAAGGAGCCAACACACGCCATTCTGCTAATAATATATATAATTTTTTTTACTGAAAATACACTGACACTTGGTCTTGATATTAATTCTCTTACGCCATGTGCGCCTCTCCCAATACGTAAGAGGTGTAGGCCCTATATGACTCTTACTTATATAACCTTGTCCACCTCTCCCTTGAAATGGATCTATGGGTCCTGGCAACTCATACATCTTATGTAGCTCTCCCCTGCAATACACTGACACGATTGTTTGCCCAGGTATCAATCCCTTTCATCCACGCCTACCCCTTCTCGGATAAGTCGTTGACAGGTATGATAACTTTACAATATTTTTTCTCAAAGTACGTATATTGATACCGCAAAAAGTAACCCCAAAATTAATCTGACTATACAAATATAACCACAATCCAAATATTGGTGTCATACCTGGTCTGCCTCCCCTGAGTTTTGAATGGTCTTGTAGAACGCCAGACACTGTGAATAATTCGTCGTCTCCTCCCATAGGCCTGTAGTGTTGCAGTACCGTGTGGCCAAAATATGATCTGCAAAGAGAGAAGGACTACGTCAACGATAATATGTAGGGAATTACTGCATGGCCTGTACCTTAAGAAGTACCCAGTGAAAACAAATTCGATTGAAATATTTCCGCAGAACATGGTCTACAAAGACAATGAAGTTCAGCAATACACATGTTTTATTGAATTATGGTGTGCATCTAGAAAAATACTCTGGATAAATACAAGCATAAATGCAGTGAAATTATCATGTGATTTCGTTCAATAGGAGTATCATTTAAATAATGTCAAGACATTAATCAATGCGGTCACATGCCGATAAATATCATACACAAGAAAGCAGGAAGGAATACATTGTCGAGTTTTGGGACGACTTTCTTTAAGCAATGATGGATACAATATAATGTATGTCTTTTTCACATGAACACATCTGAGCAAAATAAAAATGTATAGTTTCTACTTGTATTAGAAATATGTACCCACTTCCTTTCGTTACATTTTATACGGTATGGGACGGCTAGACATGATATTTTACTCTTTAGAACGTTAGTACCACTTGTGGATCCTTAATGAACTCTTTCTCTTTGGAACTTCGGTTTTAACTGGTTAGTCCTTAGTAGATTCCTACCCATTAGAACTTTGATAACCATTTGTGAATCATTACTGGATTCTTACCTGTTAGAACTTTGGTTTCCACTGGTGAATCATTAATGGGTTGTTACCCTTTGGAACTATGGTTTCCACTGGTTAATCATTAATGGATTGTTACCCTTTGGAACTTCGGTTTCAACTGTTTAGTCCTTAGTAGATTCTTACCTTCGGAACTTTTGTTTCCACTGGTGAATCATTAATGGATCCTTACCATTTGGAACTTTGGTTATCACTGGTGAATCATTAATGGATTGTCACCCTTTGGAACTTTGATAACCGCTAGTAAGTCCAACGTGATCTTTTTGAACCTTGGTTACCATTGGTAAGGTCTGCATGGACCAAATGGCCATATTGTGAAGTAAACGTATACTGGTTTGGCTTTCTACAGCAACTGTCTAGATTTTAAAATATGTGCTTTTTTACTTCATATGTCTAGTGAGTATATGGAAAATTTTATTTTTGTGACTCTGGCAGTTCATCATTTGCACCTAATAAAAGTCATACATGGCTTCGAAGCAATCGGTCAAATGACTAGTTTTGATAATACAGACACAATATAGATTTGATCTAATGTTTAGTGCATGTTTTGTAATTTTCACGCCTTTCATTTATTGCTGTGGCTTACATCATATTTACGACGAAACAATAAACAACTGGATTTCATAACGATAAGATAATTTATATCACGCGCAATGTTTATGTTTTGCTTATCAGTTGATGGGTTGATAAAATCAACGATGTGCTCTTCACAGTCTATAAACTCTATAAAAATAAATAAATATACAACATGTGATATAACGTCCTATCTAGCTAACATAAGCCACTCTAAAGCGCTTTACAGTACATAGATATACAATTTTACACAGTCAATACAATTAACATATATATTAATCAATACAATATTGAGGAATTCGCAGGAGCTGCCTTATTGGGCGCTAACTACTAGTCCTATGCCACTTAGCTAATATCTCCCTATGTGTGTATGATTGTGTGTGTGCTGGAGATGTATTGTGTTCTGTTTGTAGTGGGACCGTGCTTCCAACGGTATCATTTATAGTGCCAACTCACTTGAATGCTACAGCACAGATACCGCAACACCCACCCCAGACCATTTTATACTCCACCTGGGTTGTTTGAGTTTTGTGGGCAGGAGAACAAATACTTTCTCTGAATAAGTGATATATAACAAGGCAATGATAAAATAGATGAACATATGGTGCCAATACAGTCAAAGAAAGTTAAAAAAGAAATGAAGCTTATTGACCAAACATGTTTCATACTGTCATGTTATTGTACGAAATCAAACACTTTTTCATGGTGTCTCTTATTGTTATCGACAATTTCATCGGATGTCTATCAGCACGAGTGGAACTCGACACGTTTACCCTACCAAATGACCTTGGTTCGCCTCCATCTTGTTCCGGTGGGTCATGGTTCATGCTTTTTTGTTTTTCTGTTCGTTTAAACTTTAAGTCAATACTTTGTCGTTGTGCATTGATACTGTGGCATACCCTTAAGTGTTCGTGCATAAAAAAATAAAAATGAACAGACGAAATAATTAAATTTTGACAATCCAAAATGGGATTATAAAAGGAAAATGAATTTATACTTTAATTGCTTGCTTAATGGAAACAATTTGTTGAAAAGTGTTTTTTTAATATTGTAAATATAAATTCGGCTTTAACCAATCTTTGTAGCATCTATTTAGTTAATATTGATGTTAAAAAGTTAAGTTTGGTGTCGCTCATTTTTTTCCGTATTGATATAAAATTTAACAGTACTGCTAAGGGCTACATATGTAATATACTTAGGCAATGTGGAGCGTGTGCTAATCGAAATATTGAGCGAGATTTACTTTTTTATGCAATTATCAAGATTATCTTTCTAGTAAAGCCCTGGGGCAGTTTATGCAAAGACGTGTTATCAATGTTAAGTTAAATGGCATAACCAAACAATATTGTTCATGCGTGACAATTTTCAGTCTCAGTGTTGTTGATTTACTTTTAAAACAAAATAGCCATAATGAGCAATATTTTGATATTGTTATTATTTGAATTACTTCACAAATCAGAAACGAGAAAAAAACCCGCGAAAGTCTGTTATTCTTGAGGTTGTATCATTGAATCACTGAAGTGTTGTTTACTTAACAGTTCCTGTGATAGAAGAGATTTTTTTAAGAGGCTTATTTAAAGTTAGATTCTTACCCGCACATTTTCTACTTTGGGGTTCTGTTAGGAAATACGTGTAAACATTTTTATGTACCTAACCCTTGTAATTAATATTGATAAACGTATGTTGTCAGCAACGGTGATGGTTTCAAACCGGAGCATTAGACTTTTGTTTGAGCGCGAGGACGTGGCTGTCAAAGCAATTTTGCGTTTTAATCTGTTACCAATCTGCTTATGTTGAAGATTCACGTATACGAGGGCCCATATGTCAACGGTAATCACCAGTCTGTCTGTTTACATCTCCGTCTGATGAAAGTCTCCATACATCATATTTAAACCGATTTCCACGGCGGTGTTATAGATATAGAAATACAACAAAGTAAAAAATGACAAACAGTCATTGTGTATTCTCATTAATTGTTATGATACTCGTCCCATTGAAGGCAAAACGCCAACGAGTTCCACTCCAGATTTGTTCATACACACACTAATTTTCCATGAATTTGTTTTGGTTATAACGGTGGTGAGACTATCGTTCAGTCGATAACAGTTTTTTGATTGTTAATTTCAGTTGCATGCCATAAAAGCTCATGACCCAGGATGCTGTCTAGATAATATATATCTCCCCAGATAACCATATTTATTTCAAGATAACACCTGATGTCCACGCGACAACCATAATGTTACCAATGTACCTCAAATGTCACCTTTATGACTACGGCATCCACGATGTCCCCGTTCACAACCCTAGTATTTTCCGTTAAGGCTATAACGTACATCTCCTCTATATAGGTCGATTACATCGAGCTCAATTGTTTATGCTGGCGCGTTTTATTTGAAGTCCAGAAGAAAAATATTACGACTGTCTTGATGTTAGATAGCTGGATCTTAAGATGTAATTGGACCTAATCTTTTGATGAAACAACATAATAATGCTGCTAATAAAATATTTAGTTTGCCGAGATACATTTGCATAGATGTCAGTATGCATATCTATGTTTAACGTAGTCTACGTACTATTCCTATTTAAACGCAAATACAACGATTAGGTGAAGGATGGTCAGGCTGTTTATTGTCAATTCTGCTCGTGCTTCTGACTTTTATCTAGATGCAATATACCACATGAGTATCAGTCACGCAGCAGTTTTGAAACCGGAAATTAACACCAAGACGAGATATGACGTAACTGTTACACCGGAAGTCAGTCAATACGTCAGTTTTTGGTGAGTCCAGGCGACACCATGATTGATGACATTTCCAAATAAAATCGCTTTTCTATTCATATCATTTGGTGGTTTCATACCTGAAATGCAGTATACTGTTTGCTGAAATGCACCATCAATACAAACAATTACCTTGAAATAACACGTCTGTTTTCATAATTCCTTAATCATTTGTTCAGCCGAGACATCTTCGGTTGTAATTTGCAACACTGCATACAAACTTTATCCCCGTGGGGTACATACATCTGTTTCCAATCTCTTCAGTAAATCTCTTTGTAGGTAAAAACTGGTTTGAAGTATAACGATATTTTGAATTGTCCTGTAACAATACCAACTTCCTGGTTTCTCAAAGCTTACGGAAATACCTCTGGGTCATGTACATGCTTATTGAATTTCACAAACAACTTTATTGCGGCGTATTTGTAGATCACTCTGACGACAAAAAGACGTTAATGTTTTTCAGAGCTTGACAACACATCTATTAAAAGTCTGGTCAGGTTACTTTATCTATCTAGATAGCTGAACAAGTGATGCCAGTTGCGATAAAACTTAAATTAAATTCCGTATGAAAATTTCATTCTTGTTTTTTTGTCATATCATGAATAAATCAAACGAACAAATCACAAAGTCAACACACAAAGACTAATTTGGAGACAACAGTGTAAACCCAGGAGACAAGACTTCATGGACCCTCACAAACTTAAGGTAGCGACGTCAAAACAAAAATACACATTAACTATAACTTTTGTCCATAGTCTACATCAGCCGGAATATTCGGAAACATTTTGTTGTGATTTTGTTAGCAGTCGATATCTATCAATGAAATCGTGATATTCGGACCCAGACCTCGAACTACGTTACAAATACACCGTAGGTTTTGGAAGCAGGGTGGTTACTGTTAAGAAAGGGACAGTTCACTATCGGAAAAGTAAAATCAGCTCGCTTCAAGCAGCTGACATAATGAGTCTATTGTGTCATCAATTTC